CTCCACCACAATGACGATCACTGGACTACTATTTAACTCTCGCATTTTAATGTTACTAAAGATCATTAAAAGACAAGACACATTTTATTTGCTACTTTGCTCTTATTCTTATGTTGCTTCACCTCATACCATAGAATATTAGAATTTATGGCTTCTCTCATTTACTTTAGTTACTTTATATTTATTGTAGCTCATGCCTCGGAAAATAGCATCAAGAGTGAAGTGAACAAAAGGGTGTGAAGTTAAGATTCTTTGCTCTCTTTTGTGTAAAACTATAAACAATTTCTTAAGCTCAATGATATATCTAGGATAAGGCTAAAAAAAGCAAAGTTAGAGTGACCAAGGATATATCTATAATACTGTATCTAAGGCAATCACTTTTCTAAAATAATATTGTTATGCTTAGGAGTTTATTCTATGCATGGCTTTTTTTTCCATTAACTTTACCATAACGTTTATAGGTAGGATTAAATTTTTTGTCTCCATACGCAACAAATTCTGATATCTCATCATTAGAAAATACGTATAAAACCTTCTTCTAAATCAAATCCAATGTATGCAATATTCAAAAAGTATTTGATGTTTTGGAAGATTTAACTTTTAAATTAACCTGATTTATCGTTTAAGTTGTATTCCCGTTTTGTAATACAGCAATCAGTCTCATGGTTTCTTTTTCAATAATGTAGACTAACACCTTTAACTTTCTATTGGGATATATGATATGTGCTTGGGACTCTTATAATATTATATGTTTATTGAAGATTCATGTCTGAATTCGTATAATGTGGCGGGTACTGTACAAATATCTAAATTTATATAGTGCCAAAAGACGGTTCATCTTTTGATTGATTGATTCCTCCTTTTTACTTTGCCTATTTACTAGCATTAATGTAATTTCATTTCAAAAAGCTAGATGTTTACCTTCTATTAATTGATTTCAAAAAGACCAAAACTTTAATGTCACATTAGAAAGTTTATCCAAAGAAAAAAAACTTAAAAAGGGAAGAAGGAAACTCAGTTACTTGTATTGTTCACTAGTGTTCTAGAAGCTTAAGGATCAAGAAATCAACAAAGAAGCGATGCTCAATCAGTTCATTGTTCTAGAAGCTTCCCATACATAAAACTTTATTATTTTCGAAATCTCAAACACACAAATTTTTTTTATTACAAAGACTCTGCTTTAGTAGAGCAGAAGCACCAGCAACAACAACAATATGAAGAAGAGTAGAGAAATTCACAACAAAGAGAAAAAAAAAAAGACGCAAACTTATTTGGTTGTATTGGAACAAGCTGATGGCTTCCAAATACCCTACTTGGTCCCCAATATTATGGGATCTTACTCAAGGCAGCATTGGTACAAGTAATACTTTTCCATGGTCCTACGGCATTCGGTGCACTCGACCTCATTGGGTATAATCCCAGCAGTCTCAGGAAGCATGAACCTTGTGCAGTGATGTGGTGGGAGACGCATTAAGAGATGATCATTGAGCGCTGTAAGAAAACCCTTTGTGGGAATGTTGACTTCCCATTCGTTGAACTCAGACAAACCCCTCGAAAACAAGTTCCCTTTGGCTCGAACCATCAAGTCCGATGCTTTACTCACTAGTCCCCATCCATCTCCTTCTCCTCCATAACCTAACATAGCAACCACTTCTTGCAGAACAAGGTCCTTTTCCTCTTCTTTGAATCCTTCTTTAAACCCTTCTCTCCCTTTGATTCCGCGAGCTTTCAGCATCCTCTGCTTCGATTCCCACATGCTCTCGATCCTTGTCCAGAAAAACCATATCTGGAACAAGTCCGGCAACGTGTGGCTGATGTTTTCATCCCGGATTGTGTTGATTATTGGCAGGATTCCATTCTTAGGGTTTCTTTTCCCGACATAAACCATCTCGAGTTGAATGTTTGCGGCCTTCGCTACATTACGCCAGAGACTCGTGAAGTTTTTGATCCATTGCAGATCCTCTCCTCCGTAGAGACATATGTATTTTCCATCAAGAAGCTGATATTAAAAAAAAAAAAACACACAACAATTAAAACTCTCACATTTTTCAGGTTAAGTGTAACATAAGAAAATTGAATTTTTATCAAGTACTCTGTTTTTTTTTTTTTTCAATCAAGAAACCTGGTTTAAGGAATGTGGATCAGTTCCATCAATCAAGAACTCAAGATTCCACTCCTGTTCGCTCCATAGATCACGTTCCCTTGCGGTCGTGAAAGGGTGCGCAAAGGGTTGCCAGATCCAGACCATAGGGAAAGCGTTGGTTGACATAACTTGACCTTTGGGATCAAGTGCAACGAGTATAGGCCTGTTCTTAAACCCCCACCATTCCCTCACAAACCTAATGGCGGCTCGTCTTAATTTCCGAGGCTCTCCAAGAACGTACCACCTCATATTCATATGAAGTGCCTCGAACTTGGCATCGTCAGCTTCTGTCCTGAAATCTTGAACTGGAACCCATAGAATCTCGAATGATTGCTGCCATGCTTCTGTGTAGAGCGATTCCAGGATGTAGAGCTCCTTTTCGATGTTTTCTAGGTCTGATACCAGAAGCAGCACGTGCTTTTGGGTGAGCACGTTGATCCCGACCTGGTTAATGTTTAAAACAGATCATCAGACACTGACAAGAGACATAAACAGAGGCAGAGATTTGAGGAGATTTTACGCGTCTCTTCGAAACACCAGCTCCGTGGTAAAGAAAATCAATAGGTCTGAGAAGGCGAAGCAGAGGAGGAACAACGTCAACGTGAATGATAGTAGTGAACGTCTGAATGAGTTCTTGATACTCTTCTTCGATTATACCATCCTCTGTAACAGAGCAAAAAAACAGAGCTTGAGAACAGAGGAATTAAAAAAAAAAGAGAGAGAAAGAGAGAGAGAGCTTGAAACGAGGTCGTAATCACCAATGGTCAATCGACTCTTCCTGAGTTGTTCTTTCAAGTAATCATTGATCTTCCTAAGCCTTTCGCTATTCTCATGAATCTCCGAAACTTCCATAAACGACATGATTTGACTGAAAACAAGCTTTTATAAGTTTTTTCCTTGTAAATGAAGAAACCCTAGAAATCAAAAAGAAAAAACAACTTACTCCTGCCTGAAACCACTGGCGCCACTGAGGTGAGAAACACATATCAAAACGCAGCGAACAATCCAGTAAACCGCAGTGGGGACATGGTCGGTAAAGGCGGTTGTGATGTGGTTTGGCGGGAGTTGATAGATCTCGATGATGGTAGTGGTGAGAGCAACCATTTCTTTCATCAGAAGTCGGGTCTTATCAAGACGCTGGTGCAGAGCGTTCTGCCGGGAAAAGATGCTAGGGAGCTGTTTGATGAGAGCCAGCGATTTAGTGAGCTGATTAGTTGCGTGTGTCTCCGCGAGGAGGAGAAAAACTCCGTATTTCACGGCCAAGGCAGCTAGGACAAGGACTAGCTTAGCATCCCAACGGTATTTGGAGACCAGAGACAGAACAGAGAACGTTGTGGTATTGCGACTATCTAAATGAAGCCCTGATGTCATCATACCGTGAGACTCACCGCCATGGAGACACTTGCAGTCGATCTGCTCAGTGACATTGATACTTAGAAACTGAGTCAAATGTTACTTAAAACAAGATAGCTTCGTATATAATATACCTCGCAAGAGATTTGATCAATGACATCCGCGAAAGTTTCAAAGGAGGTATGATCAGCATAGTCCTTGAACACGAGTGTTGGCTGCATAAGTTTTAAATTTCATAAGCTTGTAAAAATCAATGTTTGAAATGGGGATTGATAGTTTTCCAAGTAAACTAAACCTTAGGAGCAGAGTCGTCAACCGATGGGACATGAGACTTGAAGATGTCATCAACAACGGAGAGAAGTGATTTGACATCAAAGAAGATCATGTCTGGACTATGAGTCTTCAAGACTCTATCAGCCATGACTCGGTCATCAGAAAGTGAAAACATAGGTCTGCCATTTCTATGGAAAGCTTGTTTCTTGCCCGGACCAAATCTTCCACCGAGCGAATTGTGGCCCAATGATTTCGGAACCATCGAATGTCGGATATTAGCATCAAGTACGTCCTCAGATGGATGAGGGTGATTTGCAGTCTTAGGGACAATGGAACCGAGCTTCTCGGTCTCATGATCCATCACCTTATTATGGTCCGCAGGAGCAGAAACGTTGTGATCATCTGTATGATCCCCAAAGGGGCTGTCTTCGTGAGTTCTCGGTGCTAAGGGACGCCTCTCGCCTGAGTTATCAGCCAGCTTCTGCTCGGCGGATCTTGGGATAAGGGAGACCCTTTTGAGAGGGTCGGCCGTTGGGAGGGTTTTTGGGTTCAATTGAAAGCGTTGGGCCATATTGGCGAAAAGAAGAGAAATATATGGTGAAGGATCTGATGTGTTGTGGTGAATGATTGGGTTAATAAAATCCATGTGTGTATATATACTGCTGCAAAAGGTTAAATAAAGTGGCAACTTTGAATCAACTTCTTTGCTTCAGCTTTGGTTCAATATTTGTTTTGGTGTCTTTTACACTTCCATAGACAATTTTTCCCTAATCGATATTTCATAATTTTCATTATTGTGATATTAACAAGAATTTCAGATCTCTCGATCATAATTTATGTAAACAACCAAATTTAGTATGTCACATGCATGGAACATAGAAAGTGTACATGCAATGGATTTTTGTTATAATACGATAGACTTCCTTTTAATATATACTGTATGTTATAATATAGAATATCTAAACCATATATAGAATAAGCAACTCGTGATACTCGTTGAACAGGGACAAGGCTACCTTGCTTGGATATTGTCCATGAATCTACGAACAACACGAATCACACAGAATGCATGCTATTGAAAAATATATATTAATTATATTTTCCAAAGTGTGTAATCTTTCTTTCAATTATTTCTTTTGTAATACAGGTTCTTCCAATTTGATTGGTTGCTCAAATATGTATGTTCACTTTTCACTATTTCTCTAAAATTTGTATTGTAAGTTTCTCCAGCTGGACTTGGTACCACTATTTTTATTTTTCTTAATTCCCTTTCAAACTTCCCATCCAAAACGCAGTATACATTTTTTTGTTGTGTTACTCATAAATAGGTTTGAAATTCTTATAAGCAATGACAGCATTAAAAGGATCGGGTCTAGAAGCTAAACCAATAAAACCCATAAGCCGAGTCATAACCGATATCTGAGCTCCAGGCTGTTGCCGGATGATCTCCGGCTGAGTAAACCCTTCAATAGACTGAAAGTACTGAACCACCAATTGGATCCGACTGTATTCGGTTCCATCTCGCCAAACCCTAATTGCTTTCTCGTAAAACATCCGATTGCTAAAACTCACTATCAACACACCTCCCGGTTTCAACACTCTATACACTTCTGCAAACACCTGCCCATTATATAATAGGGAAGAACTGGTTAAGGAATTTTGACATAAATCGAAATTGGTTTTGGTTTACGGTCTTGTACCTTTTCGGGTTGTTGTAGATACTGTACACCGACAGCACATAAAACAGCGTCGAAATACTTGTCTTCGAACTCGAATTTCTCATCTTCGTTGAGATCCTTGACGAAGAAGTAATCGAGTCTAGGGTTACGTGCAAGCTCTTGTGCGTTAAGACCATGCCCCACCACTTTCTCGTACTTGACTTCTTCTGGAAGATGGCTAACCCATGAGCTCATCAAGTCTAATACAATCGAACCGGGTCTCAACCGGTTTCTGTATAGTTCGGTTAAGGAGGATATGAAACCATCGTCTACGTGGTTCACGAACCGTGGGTATGAATAGAATTCACGGTCAGGATCGGCGTTTAGTTTGGTCCGACCTTCGTTGTTAAGTACTAACCTTTGGACCTTACCGGCCGAGGATGATGGTCGAGGATCGGTTTCATCGGTTTGGTTCGATATGTTGTTAGTGATTCTTGGTCGGAGAATTCTGGGTTTCAATTGGATTGGATATTGTTGGAGGTTGAATCGAAGAGAATCCATAAGATTCTCTGTTTTTCCAAAAGCAAAATAAAAACTTCCGCTTTATCAAAAACTTGACAGAAGCTAAGAATCGTTAAGACAATTTCTTTGTTTTTTGTTTTTTGTTTTGAAGGAATGGATAATTGATGAGTGGTGTTCATTTATGCTGTTCCCTAGTAATTTTATTTGGTGAATTTGCTTTTTAGCCCAATATAATGCTAATGGGCTTCTATTGGGCAATTTATCCATTTTCTTTCTCATTGCTAAGTAAGTTGACAGAAAAAAAAACTCGAAGCTTATGGAGAGAATTAAGTCATGATGATTAGTTTAGCAACGCTTCGATTCTTGGTCCTTGGTCGTAATTGCCTTTTACGGGTTGGAGAAAATTTAAAGTATAAGCAACTTTGGTTCTATCGAATCTTGAAAAACCCAAGAAAGCCCTCCCCATATAAATACATTATTCTTACAATCCAATCAAAGAACAAAAGAACACTTTTTTTTTCTACAAAAAGATGTGAAAATCTCTGGAAGAAATGGGATTGGACTGGTCAAAGCTTATGTCAATGGACCATTGACAATGGTGTTGTTAGTAGAGCTTGATTCTGGTCTGGATCGGGGCACGACAAATCGGACACACTTTAAGATCTGGTCCGCATTCACAACAAGTCTGATGGCCACAACCAAACGCCATGTTTTTCGGGTTGCTCAGACATATCGGACATAGCTGTTCAAAGGGCAAATATAACACACGAATTTAATAAAGTTCCACACTCTTTCTTTCACTCAACATTTCAAACAGATTCCAAGTTTCTACTAATTACCTGGTTATCGTCTGAACCACTGCTCATATGCTTGCTCTCAAATGGATAAGTAGGTACACTCGGTTCAAAACTCGGTATTCTGGAACTAGAGAATGATGATCCGCTCTGCACCGGTGGCGGAAGTGGGATTCTCTCTGGGATACTCCCATTTCTTCCCCTGCAAATATGTAAGGGCACGAGAAAGTTGAGGATTTTGTTAACAATGTAGCAGTGTTTCATATCGGCTAACCTATCAGAGTTTTGATTTGGGTCCTTACCCTAAAAGGTTAAGCTCTATCGTTGCTTTGTACTGTGGAGGAATCTCCATGAGAGCAGAGAGTGCGAATTCTGTCTCCTTCCGAGACTGGTCTTTGTTCTTTGACATGATCTCTGTGAAGTTCACAAACTAGAAACAGAGCAACATGTCAGAAATATGGTTCGAAACTGAAGAAAAGAAGCAATCTTCAATATCCTGATATGAAAAAAGAGAAGCTTACTTGGAAGTTATCGAAAGCTCGGGCAGGTATGTTATCATCAAATTCCTGCATCATGTCCCATGGTCCATCCCCGACCCCGACTAAGACTATTGACAAAGGAAGGGTACTGTAATAGAGAGGATGAAACTGATTACATAACACACAAAGAAAAGGTCTTCAAAATGGAAGAAACATAGTCAAAAGATTGAAATATTCACACCTTGCTTTCACAATTGCATCGACCGTCTTCTGTTCTTGCGGACTTAGCCGCCCATGTTCGGTATCGACACTTCTTGTGACCTGAAACAACAAAATGAGTCCAATTTGATATCTCTAAACACAAAATCAGAAGATCACACACAGCTTAGGCACTCAAAATATTAATCAGCACCTGGCCATCAGCTATAATCACTAACACATGATATTGGCCACTACTCTGCTCAACCACTGTCATTGCCATTTCAATGATCGGGGCAAAAGATGTTGGTCCTGAAATACAACGTTTCACGAAAAAAAAAAAACATGGTTCAAGTTTGTAACTTGCGTTTCACAAGGAGATACAGAATGTTAGTGCAGGCCAGAGGAGGAAATAAACCTGCGAGCTTAAGGTGAGGTACAATTTCTCTATAACGAGCCAATACTTCCTCAAATCCATTACAGAATCTACCCTCTGGATAGAAACTAAACACATCTTGATCATGAGTTGTTGCTGCAAAGAGATGAAAGCAAACCTTGATTCATAAACATTCCTCTGGAAATCCGAGTGACATAAATAAATAGAGATGTAAATATCATTGCTTACCGTCTCCAAAACCATAACAAGGAATTAAGTTATCCTCGTCAAAGGCGGCTAAGGTTCTTCCTATGATAGTTATTGCCTGTTCGTATGGATTCGGGGTATTGCTTAAGTGATGCAAGCTTTTCCTATTGAAGGACTTGGCCCCTGCAGCACCAAAACCAATTAGTTTGTCTTCTCCTTGGGCCCTTACATTCAAAACTTAGATTAAGAATAATAACTAACCTGTCCATTCATTGCTCTTGGTGAAATCAATACCAACGATTAGATTTGAAGATTCAAGACCTGCACGACCTAGAGCCTCCGACACCTGGAATCAATTATACTAGATTCAGATTCCAACGAATCTTGAGGAAAATCCAAGTGTATAGCATGCATTGTCTTAAACTGACCTGCAGTAAAGAAGAGTAGTTATCCGATATTTTCGAATACCTCCGATCAAATTTCTTCCGGTCAGCATCATGACTCTGTGAAGGCGGTGGAGGATAATTAGGCTGTGATGCATAGCCCTCTTGACTATGCGGCATCTGATAAGGATGGCCATAACTGGAAGACGGAGATGGAGCAGGAGCAGGCACCGGAGCAGGAGGAGGGAGTATAAGTGGGTGGAGGAGGATAGTTGTAGCTATCAGGTCCATATTGAGGATAACTTTGATGAGAAGCCCATGATGATGAAGATGGAGATGACGACTCTTCTTTGGAATTCCCTCCTCCCATCAAACTTTATTCAAATCAAGAAGAAAAAAAGACAGAAACTTGAAGGCTTCAAGAACAATATACCTGCATATAAAGATTCGGATATTTAGAATCTTATCCTCTTTGAACCAGAGAAAAAGGGGAATCCCAACAACAACAACAACAAGAGCAATAGAATCAATGATTCAACATGCAAAAACACCTATCGCAATAGAAAACTTGAAACTTTTATGTGATCTCTCTCTATAAGAAGGTGTCCTTAAAAATGGGTATGAGAGATTTGCAGCAAGTAAGGTTGGTGAATGAATGAATTGTTGACGATGCTAATGAAACAGGTGTAATAAGGCGGCTCTTCCTTGGTCTTAAGAAAAGTTCTTAAGAGAGAAGATGATGAAGAAGATTCAATCACGTTACCTCCAATCACCGACTTCTTGAGCCGTTACGTGTCTCTTATATTATATTGTTGGATTGTTTTTCCCAATTTTGGAAACAAGATAAGAATTGTAGATTTCATTAACCTAACAAGTAAGTAACTAGGGTTTAAAACAAAACAAGTAAAGACAAAATCTGTGGCTTTTTAATTAGAGATTTTGTCCTAATTAAAAAACAAAAGTAGATTCATTCACCCAAAAGAGATTTCACTGATCTCGATCCATAACTTAGAAAAAAAAAGAAATCCCAAACCTTTTATATGTGTGAGAGAAGTCGACGAAGAAGAAAGAGCAATTATTTATGTGATGAGAAGATGATGAAGTGATCTTCTTCTTCTTTTTAAACGTTGTCAACAGGTCAAAGGGATCTTCAATGGCGGATTCAATGTATCTCCCAAATTGCCCTCTCTTTTTTTTTTTTTTTTTTTGTTTGTTTTGTTAAGAAAGCAATATATCCTTCTTTTTTTTCTGTTGTTTAATGTTTCACTTTCACGTTCAATCATGAAATCAAGGAAAACTTCTTTATTCTTGGCCCACCAGAGTCCAAGTCCAAGTCCAGACCGATTTTAAATATTATTATTACTCAATCAAATAACAATTTATTTTGGGAAAAATGTCATTAAAATCCCCAACTTATTCAAAACGTTGATTTAAATCCTCAACTCACGACGAAACGAAATAAATATCAAACTTATGTTGACTTTCCAAATAAATATTAAACTTATATTAACTTTCCAAATAAACACCAAACTTTCATTGACTTGGCCATATTAGGCATGACGTTAAGTGAGTTAACAAACAATGTTAACACCTGTTAGTGTTGATCAAAATACTAACAAGTATTCCTTCTAAACACAAAACGACGTTGTTTTGTCATAACTGTTCAATAAAATCCCGAGTTTCAAATCATACTCTATTTAGGGTTAGGGATTTTGCTCGATTTGGAGATCTAAGATTGACTTTAGGGATTTAATTCAATCGTTACGACAAAACGACGTCGTTTTGTTGTTATATGAAACAATGTCGTTATCAATTAACACATATGTTAACAGAAAATTACCTCCGTTAACGAGATCTATTAACCCACTTAACGTCGTACCTAATATGGCTAGGTCAACGGAAATTTGATATTTATTTGGAAAGTCAACATAAGTTTGATATTTATTTGGAAAGTCAACATAAGTTTGATATTTATTTCGTTTTGTTATGAGTTGAGGATTTATTAACCCACTTAACGTCGTACCTAATATGGTCAGGTCAACGGAAGTTTGATATTTATTTGGAAAGTCAATGAAAGTTTGGTGTTTATTTGGAAAGTCAACATAAGTTTAATATTTATTTGAAAAGTCAACATAAGTTTGATATTTATTTCGTTTCGTCATGAGTTGAGGATTTAAATCAACGTTTTGAATAAGTTGGGGATTTTAACGACATTTTTCCCAATTTATTTTCAACATTATTATTAGTAATTCGAATTCGAATTCGTGATTCTGGAACACACATGTTTTGTTCAGATGTCATCAACTTGGGAGGGTATTAGTAGTAGTATAGATTAGAAATAGTACATGTCTGCCACGATTTCTCTTTACTTACTTTCTGCCAAATGATCTCTGAATTTTAAATTTCTTTCTTTTTTCTTTTTCTTCACACACACTATCTGCCAACTTTTGTATATATCAAAAAAAGAGAGCACATATATGTGGATTGATATGGTAAATATCATTAGTTTCTAAAATCTAGATCACCAGGCCAACAATTTTAATATCAAAATGTTTACTTTAGTATAAAAAGTTGGATTGTAATGTAGAAAAAACTACATGGAAGAAAAAGAAGCAAAACAAACAAATTATAAGCCAAGTGACGTACAAGGAACAACAAACAAGAAAATGTGCAGGAAAAAGTAACGGAACTGAAAATGGCTCACATGTTTATTTCTCTGGAAAATGGCTCTATCGTGTGAATAACAAGACTTGATCATGGCTTTCATAAGGTCTGAATGTCAGAATCATTCAAACATGAAGGGGCGATTTTTACCGGTTGAAGCATAAATCCCGATTTCCGGCATTCTTCTTCCAGAAGCTTCACCTGAGACGGACCTTCAGGGCAGAAAACCACCACTGCTCCTCCACTTCCAGTGAACTTTGAAGCTGCCCCAACCCTCCTTGCTACTTCCACCATCTCTATGTTCATTGCTCCTAAGCATTCATCCCCAAACATCCGCCTATCGCAAAAAAAGAGACATCACTATGTTCATTTACTCCCATCTATTTAAACATCATCTGAGCAGGCAGTTTGATCTTAAGTTGTGTATAGATTGGAGTTTTGTCTGGAATTATATTTACCTCCGAATGTCGAAATTAAGGTTCATGAGTTCCACAAGTTTGGAATGGTCCTTGTTGAGTAATGCAGTTCGACCTTCTTCTGCTAGATTTCCGACTTCTTTCATTGATGAGATTATAAACTCATCACCGTCTAACCATCTTTGCCGAACCATACTATGTACCTGCATTAAAAGGCAATGCTAATATAATAAAACATCTAACAGAGAGAAAATTCTGATGAGTTATGCCCGAGTTCTAGTCATCTATGCTGAAATCAACTAGCTTTTTGAAGAAATTTCACTTGATTGCTGCATCAACCAGAATCATTAACTAAGGAGATTTCACTTGATTTACTGCAACAACCAGAATCATTAACTAAGTCGGTTAATGGTGATGTACCTTCCCTGAGTCGCTAGGATTCTCAGCATAGATGAGATGCAAAGGAGGGAGGAGACTGATATCCATAGGAGTATAAATCCCATGTCCCAATTTGTCCATGTGCTCCTTACTAAAATCCTGCAAAGTGAAGAAAGCCATAAAATTCATGAACTGATGGAACTGTGTTTGTACCAAGGGCTATGTATAAAGATAAGATGGTCACACTGACCATGTGAACAAGACCACCATAGACCTGAGCAACCCTGTCTTGAAGACCAGCAACAATACCAAGTTCTTTCTCTGCACTGAGAACAATGTTAGGGCGGACTTGTACTTTGATCAAATGCCTGACATTGTAGAAGTCGAGAAGGCAGTTAAGGGCAGCGGATACGATGGCACTGGAACCCGAAAGCCCTGTCTGGAAGGAAGATCAAAAGATAAGCGGCGGCAGAGAAAAGGAAAACATAGAGAGAAAGGGGAATAAAATATCAGTACCTGCCTGGGGATATTGGTGTCATAAGAAAGAGAGAAGTTGCCTTGGTGAAGTTGAATGCCATTGTCTTTGCAATAGTTACGGAACACTTTACATATCGCCATTAGCAACCTTACACCACCGTAGTAGCCTTCATTTTGCAAACGATTTAGCTACGGAATAAAAGAAAAAAAAAACAATGCTAATTATTAATTTATAACACAATCCTGAGAACAAGCCAAAATTATCATCTCACAATTACAACCAGGTTCACAAGAAGAAGCTGAACAAATCATAAATGCATCCACACGAAGAGAGAGAGGGATCCACAAGGAATGAATAACAACAATGTTGGAGCAATTTGAAAAAAAGATCGAGAGAGGAGAATAATAAAACGTACGAGATGGTCGAGAGAGGTGAACTGGACGAGATCATGGAATGGATGAGGCTTGATTACGAGATGCTGGGACGGCTCCAGCTTCACGGAGGCCCAGAAGTTACCGATGGTCAATGATATGGTTCGCCCGAAGTATACATCGCTCGGGTTTCCCAAGAATCCGATCCGGGCGAAGGACCGATGCTCTATCGCCGCCATAGCCTGGCCCTCGCCGGAAAGCGTGGAATTCGGATCCATCTTCTCTTCCCTGACGCGTTTTTTACTTTCTTTCTTTTTTTAACATATCCATCATCCCCCCACTCACTATTTTAATGTTTTCTTCTAACAGTTTATGGGTCCCGCTGGTTTTGGAATTTGCGCTAATTAATGACACGTTGACGCTCCTAACATGTGTAATTCTAATCATTTCTTTCCCGCTAATCCTCTCATTTAACCATTTTATTTATTTATTTTTGATGTCAACTGTAATGGCTATTTCACTTGAGATTGGCAATTTCAGAGACCAGCTGAGCTACTAGTATATGTTAAGTCTTATTATGATGCTTTTTTCATAGTTATTATGATATGAAGTTGGAACAGAGATAGCTACGGAATCAATGTAGTCGTGGAGAGGCAATGGTTGTCATTGATGTGGTCACTACGATATTCAAATTACCTTGGGTTTAACAAATTCGAATTCGGATTCGCTTTAATTTTGTTTTTGTCTTTCAAATTCCAAGCATTTTACACTCTTTTCTTGGATCCGACCAATCTATACCATTATAGGCAGCTGATAACACTCTCTACACAGCTTTACATTCTGTTCAAAAATTCTAACCGGTGATAAACCGCTCTGGTTCTAATAAACAGAAACACGCTACATACAAACCCCAAAACAGACAAACAACCCCAAAACAAAAACGTTACGAAATAACACTTACTTCCTACGCAAACAACCGAGTCAGAGACAACAGATTTCCTGCCGAGGCTGGCATTTGTGTCATAGACAGACCCAGCCATGTAGCCGTAAAAGAGCGATCCGATGGGAATGTTTGTGATAAGGATGTTCTGGTTGACACCCACACTGTTGCGACCAAAGAGGTCTGAAGTTATAGAAACGGCAGCCGCAAACACAAACCCCGAACTTAACCCGATAAGTGCTGTAGCAACTTCTAATAGCGCCGTCTGGTTGGTCTTGGGAGAATACGCGAGGATGAAGAAGGCCAAAGGTGTTGGCAGTAGCGAAATGGTGAACCAGCCTGTTCTTGTCAAGTAGTCTAGTTTCTTGCGTGTGAAGTCAGGTGCAGAGGAGAGCAATCTTCCGAGAAAGGAGAAGGCAGAGAAGAGTGTGACTAAGGATTTAGCGTTCGAGCTGCTTTGTCCTAGAGACTGAGCGATCTGTCCTAAGTTGTTGCTATAAACAAGACCGATCGTGCCGCCGCAGAAATAAGCTACATAGTATAACCAAAACTCAAGCCTACGAACAAGCATTCCGAGAGAATGTTCATCTCCGAGTCTCACTGTATTACATTCCTCCTCCACATTAACCTTTTGACTTTTGAGGATCTTGGGCTCCTCAATGTTAACCACTGCATAGCCAGAGCTGTGATGGTGGAAACAGGACTCGAGAGCGCGGTGAATATAGTCGAGAAACGGGACGCACAATGGGAAAAGGAGAAGGAAAATGGCTCCGAGGAAATGCCAACGAGGTGATGAAGCTAAGTAGGTGCCTGAGGAAGGCAAGAGAAGGTAAAAGCATGTGACTAAGGCTAAGACATTGAAAACTACAAAGACTCGGGTTTCGTCATGGGTTCGTCTAGTATCGGATTCAGAGGAACTAGGGTTAGTAAGGACAGGCCAAAGGGCTAAAACAGAGACGATCAGAGGGATGAGAGAGTTAAGGAGAAGGTAAATATCAGAGCTTGCCGATGATTTCCCACTAATGGTTTCATGGCCAAGAGTGTACAACGCAGCACTGATTCCGTTGAAACTCACAACGAGAGACAACGCGAGAGAGTGGTTTGCTTCGAAATGTCGAATGCAGAGGATGAAGCAGACGGTGTTGAACCAGCAGATGCTTAACCCGGCTAAGGAGCAGCACACCAAAACCAGAGAGTAAGGCAGATCGATCACATCGGCGATGGCTAACCACTGGACGCCGTAACCGACGAGCCCCATTGCGGCGGCAGCGAAAAGCACGCCGGGAACAGGGAAATAGGCAATGGCGAAACCTGAAGACCAACCCAATGCTTTACCCAAATCTGAAGCAACCGCCATGTAGTTAAGCCGCGACTGAGAAACCCCCATGGACGACTTCATGTCGGAAGAGTAGGCAGAGAAATCGAAGTTGGTGCCGGTGAATGCTTGAATCCAGATAGCCGCCACCAACACCGTCCATCTCCGCCACCAATGGAGCATAGAATTGACAGGCGGTGGCTGTGGCGGCTGTTTCCGCATGGTTAGTTCCTCCTCCGCCGTCGTTATCGTCTTTGGGGGTTTCATTTCGCCGTCTCATAATTGAGAGTTAGGAGAAATCTTTTTTTAACGTTCGGTTTAAAATTCCTTTTACTATTTTAACTACAAGTAGTAGGTTAAAAAAAGGGAATTTCTGATTTTGGCAAATAGAGAAAATAACAGTGAGATCTGAAGCCGTAAGATCAAACCGCCTCCACTAGATCTGACGGATGAAATTAGTTACTCTATAAAGAAGAGGGTAATTAATTATAATTGTAGGAATATGGAAGCTAAAAAGCACCAAACGGCTATAATTGGCGTTATAGTTACGGTGAGAGGAGAAGGATCGATTTGAAGACAGAAATTCTCGGATTTGATCCTCCTCCGAGACCTAGACCTCCTCTTTCTTGTTTTTCTTTAGATTTTCTGTTTCTTCATAATTTTTTTTTTTTTTCCGTTCAATATTTGACTTTCCTTTGAACCAATCATGTCCGATGGTTATTGTAATTCTAAGAAGACTGATACTATCTGCGAACATGTTTGTGGACAGGTTTATTTCTGGGGCTTTTCATTTTTATTTCCCTCTATTTTCTCATCTGATCCTCTTCTGATTTTGATTCAAGGCTTAGAGGTCTATTATTCTTAATCCTACTAAAGTGTGCTTATGATTTCTGCCTTGTGTCATTTGTAGTTGAGAACCTTGAGTGTCTTTTAAGTTTCCGAGTGACTTGAGTTCTTCACAAGTATAAATATCAACTCTTTCGCTAATGGAATCTCTTCTTTTGTCATATATATATATGTTTCACAGGAAGGTTCTCGAGCAGGCAAGGTCATGTCAAGGCTTAGATGTGTTCTCAGAGGACTCGATTTTAAAACTTTTCTGTTTCTCTTCACTCTCCTCCCAGTCTTCATCTTCGGCATCTATCTACACGGCCAGAAGATTACATATTTCTTGAGACCTCTATGGGAATCACCTCCTAAACCTTTTCACATCCTTCCCCATTACTATCACGCCAACACTTCCATGGAAATGCTCTGCAATCTTCATGGCTGGAAACTCCGTGAATCTCCAAGAAGAGTCTTTGATGCTGTCTTGTTCAGTAACGAGATCGATATGCTCACTCTCCGTTGGAATGAGTTAAACCCCTACATTACTCAGTTTGTGCTTCTCGAATCTAACTCAACTTTCACCGGACTGTCAAAACCGTTGGCTTTCGCAGACAACCGGGAGAAGAATTTCCAATTTGCCGAGTCAAAACTGACTTATGGGCACGTTGGAGGAAGGTTCAAGAAAGGCGAAAACCCCTTTGTGGAAGAATCATTCCAAAGGCTTGCACTTGACCAACTGATCAAGCTCGCAGGTATAAAAGAAGATGATATTTTGATAATGTCGGATGTCGATGAGATCCCCAGCAGTCATACCATCAATCTGCTTAGATGGTGTGACGGATTCCCACCCATCCTTCATCTTCAGTTGAGAAACTACCTCTACTCATATGAGTACTATGTCGATAGCAAAAGCTGGAGAGCTTCGGTTCATCTCTACAAGCCTGGGAAAACTCGGTATGCTCATTTCCGGCAAAGCGACAATCTTTTGACAGATTCAGGTTGGCATTGCAGTTTTTGTTTCAGACACATCAATGATTTCGTATTCAAGATGAAAGCTTATAGCCATACCGACCGGGTCAGATTCTTACATTATCTGAACCCGAGACGAATCCAAGATGTTATCTGCAAAGGAACTGATCTTTTCGATATGCTTCCTGAAGAACACACATTCAGGGAGATTATCGGGAAACTTGGTCCGATTCCACGGTCTTATTCAGCTGTTCATCTCCCTGGATACTTGATTCAGAATGCTAATAACTACAAGTACTTATTACCTGGGAACTGCAAACGAGAATTTGGCTGATAAATAAAGGACCTCTACTTATCACTCCTCTATAGTCTTTAGCTTTTGTTCTCTCTTTCTCTATATCATCTCTGTGCATACAATTTTTACAGTCTCAGAATTTTTGTAGCATTACGGATCCGAGAAGAACAGTTGGAAACATAACTTGATTCTATTACGTGTCAAGTAGAAAAACAGACGAGTCTTTATATTTAACTAAAGACCGTATCTACCCTTGGAAAATGGGAGTTTGCAGACATTCTATAAGTAGGAGTGTTTTTACTCGAGGGTAAAAGATGGCCCTATGGTGACTTGTTCTTCAGTGTTCCTTCCAACGCTTTCTTGAAGCTTTTTTGATAGTGCGTCGTAGTGTTTTCTTTGCTGCAAAACCCATCAAAATGAGGTTTAATTTCAAACTAAACAAGAGACGATAGAAATTTCAATTTCTCAGTGATGCAAACAGAGAGAAGAGAATACCTGTTTGTTCACAGAGGGTGAGACTAAGGACAAGGCTTGCTCGAAATGTTTTGACTTGATTGTACTCTGAGTTATATCTGTAACATCGTCTTCAGACGACTCACTGGAGCCTATCATCTCCTCCACTGCTTGGAATGTAGCTTTTTGCACCTTCCATTTTATAAACTCAAACCAACCATCAGAATCACGTTCATTACAGAACATGGGTCAAGTTTCAAGAAATAAAGCGACAAGAGCAGTAAAAAAGAAGTTGATGATTGATTACCAAGTGCGCGAGATCAGCTCCGCTGAAACCTTCACAGTTCATCTTTGCAATTCCATCCAGATCAACACTAGGATCTATCGGTTTCTTCCTTGCAATAGCTTTTAGAATTGAAGCACGCTCATCCGCGTTGGGGAGGGGTACATAAAGAAGATTCCCAAACCTACCCGGTCTCAAGAAAGCAGGATCAACTACATCTGGCCTGTTTGTAGCTCCAATTACATATACATTACGCCTCTCTCCACCATCCAGCTCAACAAGAAACTGGAACATCGAAATGCATTTGATCAATGACTGACCAAATTGTGCAGCTGCACCATTCAATAAGGGTTTCTTACCTGGTTCAAAAGCCGTTCAACTACCCAAGCACCTTCTTTGCCACGACTTGTTGTCAAAGCATCCACCTGAAGTTCAAAAACATTACTCATGTACAAGAATCAGACAGCTCTTAAACTGCTGCATCAACCCAAACATGGATCTACTTTGTTTGCTCAATCTCATATCTTATTGTCTGCATATATAGACATCGGTCTATTTTCGTCATATAGTTCAAAATGTTAAAAACAAACCTCATCAAAGAAGATTACACATGGTGCACATGTCCGGGCGCGCTGAAACAATGTACGAATAGCAAGCTCACTTTCTCCAACGTATTTATTTAGAAGTTCTGCACCCTGAAAGCCCAACGATAGAAGAGAGAAAATCACATTATTCAGGACCATTCATATACAAAGCAACATCCATAAAATCTGACGTGAAAGTCAAACCTTGATGTGCATGAAATTAGCTCCAGCCTCGTTAGCAGCTGCCTTTGCAATCAATGTCTTGCCACAACCCGGTGGTCCATAGAGCAAAAAACCTGTCTCTAAGTCTACCCCGAAAGCCTAAAAAGATCCAAAGAGACAGTTCAGACCTCAATAGAACAAGCAACTAATCTTGACTATATAACGATGCCATGTGATTTTTAGTACCTTATAAATATCAGGCTTTTTGATAGGCCTCACTATATAACGGTTGAATTGAAGTCGAAGATGGTCAAGTCCACCAACATCATCCCACTTGACATCAGGCACGATAGAGAATCCTTCTCTTGTTAAAGATGCCTGAACTAGATTCACTGCTTCCTGGTATATGAAAGAAAAGTTAGGAACCAAAGAGGAAATTTTTGTAACGATTGAAGAACAGAGAAGTAGATCCATATCACCCCTGCAATTAACAAACCTCGAAATCAGACATTTTGACAAAGAGTTTTTCCAACTCTTCTTCTGGCCAGGGCATCCTCAGCCAAGATTTATCGTCTTCACCGTCCCCAGACTGTTCAGATTTTCTTGAATCCAAGATTCTCTTTATGGCTTTCCTGCCAGCCAAGTAAGCAACACTCTCCAAATCAGCTCCAACAAAACCCGGTGTTAAACGAGCTATTCTTTTCTTGTCAAAGGGTCCTTCTAATCTAAGTTTTTGGGCTACAACGGAGAGTATCTCAGCCCTTGCGTCTTCATCTGGAGCAGTTAGAGCGATCTCACATTCAAATCGTCCACTTCTCCTCAAAGCAGGATCAAGAGCATCCGGCCTATTTGTAGCTCCAATGACGAGAACAAATCCAGCACTAGAATCAGGAACATTTTTCTCGCCTTTGTTACCGGGTCCATCCATACAAGTCAACAATTGTGTTACTATTCGCTTCTCCATCTCCCTTTGCTGGTTTTCTCTCTTTGATCCAATCGCATCAATCTCATCGATAAAGACTATCGAAGGCGCAGTCCTATATGCTTTAGAGAAGAGCTCTCTAATATTCTCTTCAGAAGCACCTGAGAACAAAATTTGCATATTGGCTAAGTAAAACGATAATAAGATCAGAGCGGGAGCCACAACAAACTGAACAAATGGATATGCAATTCAATACCAGAAACACCAGAAACCACCTCTGTGGCTGAAATCTTAAAAAACGGAACACCAACTTCATTGGCAATGGCATTGGCCAACTTGGTCTTTCCACAGCCAGGTGGTCCATGAAATAGAATCCCGCTTGGTGGCTTCACTCCAATCTTCTTAAACGGCTCAGGATTGAGAATGGGGAATAGAACATTCATCTCCAATTCATCCAACACTTTCTTAATCCCACCAAAATCCTTAAAAGTAGGTCCTTTATTACCCTCAACTTCCAAATCACCATTACCAGTAGTTCCACTGAGGGAAAGAGAGCCTTTAGCCTCCTTTCTGGCCCCCATTGTAGCCAACTTGCTCCTGCCTTTGTTGCTCACAGTCTCAACTTCCACATTCTTTTCCACAGGCGACCCAATCGGTTTCTTCGAGGAGCTGTTTAACTTGGCGTAGTTATCTCGTAGACTATCATTGATCAAATCAAACCGCGGCGGACTCAGCTTCTCGCCATAAATCGCGTCCTCAGAAGTCGACACATCAGCACAATCTTCCGACGAAGAAGAAGACGGAGAAGAAGACACTGAACGTTCCATATTTCTCCTCCTCAGATGCGACTGCTCCGCTCGCTGCAATTTCTCCTCTTTCTCATCAACCCGCCTCTGTTTCTTCCTCTGAGCAACAGAAGCTTCCTCATCGCCATTGTTGTCATCTTCATCTTCGTCTTTAACCCGCTTGTTGTTTCTGCCATTAAGGACTTGCCTGACATTGAGCAGAAGCACCTGCCGAGTCAACCTCGCAAAATCACCGTACCTGGAACGGAGATCATCGACGATATCCTCCGCCGTAGCTAAATCCTTTCCGCATGAATCCATAACTTTACTCAGATATCTACGATTGATTCCTCCGCCCATACCACCGCCTCCGCCGCCGCGACCTCTCCTCACCATCGGACTGAATTAGAAGCTAAGAGTGACTTTCAATAGCAAAAGTCTGAATCTTCCAAACTTATTAATACTAAAGGGTAAATTTTGGAGGCGCCCAACACCGACACACAACCGTAGACTGCTGCGGAATAGCTTAAGAAAACCCTAATTCAAAGAGGTTAGTCGGAATAATTAATTTGTTTGGGGTGATAATGGGAACTTTTGAGAATATATGGTGAAAATGAGAATATATGGTGAAAATGGTAAAACACCCAAAAATAAATATTTATAACCGTTGGACCTTGAACCATAACACAGCAAAGAGCACAGAGGTCAAAATATATTTTTGAATTACAACAATGAAGAGCAGATTCAGAGATTGAAAATGATTATTCCCGGAATATATAAGCAGCTTTCCGGGAATCCGAGAGAAAACTGATCTCCTGAAGTAAAATTATCACAGAGATATGACTTCAGTGGCGCAGACTTTTAAAGTTTTCTTATTTATACATCTTCCAGCTTTTTCCTTCTTCAGCTTTTCTCCGAGAAAACGCCGTATTAGAGGAGGTTCTTGGTTTAGCAGCAAGAATCCAATCACAGCCATCCAATCCAATTCAGCAAACTCTCTTGAGAAGCCAACTGCAAAACCTCCATGACAACTAAATCAGAATCTTAAGTTCCAATGATTTTCACATGTAAACAAGGTATATCTTTTAGCTAAATCTTACAGTGAGCAAATCAGGGGGAGTTCCTAAATCTGCATTCTCCAGATCTGAAATCGAAAAACCATCGAATTCCCCAACAGTTCCCAGGCTAGTAGGATTGGGGATAACCTGATTTTCCCAAAGCGACGAAGCTTCAATGCTTTCGTCGCATGTTAAGTTATCTTCACTAAGGTTTACAACAAATTCCTCATCCATTCGAGCTTTTTTGGACCACATCTTCCCTAAAGCAGCTTCAGGAATGCTGTCAAGTCCCTGGTTAACAAACAACAAAAATTCCGACTTTAGTCTATTGAAAACAAAGCTATTCTTCACAATGATTTTGTGGTTTTACCAACCTCAAAAAATGGATCGAACACCTTTGAATCATCAAAAGCTTCTTCATCTCCAGCAACACCATCTACAAGGCTTGGTGGCGTAGGAGTATTTGTCTTTGGTGTTCTTGGGCCACCTCTAACCCCGGAACTCTCACCTTCATCAGGATTTTCCCCAAGCTTCTGCTGCTGATATGTGATCTTGGAAACAACATAGTCTCCTATTTCTTTCCCTTCTGTTCCTAAATGGTACTGATGCAGAACCCAGTTTGATTTCTCGGGCTTTGATCCCTTTCTAGCACTCTTGTAGAGCACCATGATCTTCTTGCAACCCCTTTGGACTCCATTGAGCAGCACAGGTTTGGTTCTGCCTGTCTTGTGCCAACGGACTGGTTCATCGTTCACAAGTGTCGGTGTGATCTTTCTGCGTTTCCTCTGTCCTGTTCCATATGCCTGCACTGTCTTGTGAAAGAAGAAGACACTCACTCCATCTTTGTTTGCACCTGAAATAGAAAAGACTCAGAGATTCAAGATATAGATCATTTAGTTTCAATTGAAGAACAAGAATTATCAGCTTAACTCCATTGAGTAAATTACAAATCCAATGGTGGAAGGTTATCATTTACCAGGAAGGTTTTGAGGGTGAGTGTAATTGATACCAACATCTTCAGTGACAGGACGAATGAACTCTTCGATAAGCACATGGGGTGCAGAGCCCCCAATCCCACATTTAGCTTCCAAAAATTCGATAATGTCCTCATCAGCAGGCTCAAACTTGACACCTTTAGGAAGGCCAGGCCATGGAATCAGTACCTGAAACCAACGAAACACACAAGTGAGTGTGTGTTTAAGACAAGAGAGGGGAGGGAAGTGTGCTTCAACACTCACATTGCTGTTGTCAATGCGGTAAGAGCAGTTGGGGCAATTGATATGAGCTCCACAGTCTTGGATCTGCAAAGCTGAAGAAAGAGAGGCATTTTTAACTTTGGTTGCAATTCCTCGGCCATCGACAATCCAAGCCCTGCTGTATATATGTGACAAGAACAAAAAAGAGGATAAGATCATCGTTGGTTCATAAGCAGCTACTGCTCAGACAACTGAGTCATTCTTCTGAAGAGTTAGAGACACTAGATATTCAAGCGGATACAGTAAATGCCTAAATCAGACGAATTCTATATCTAAAAATTCAATCTTTGTTAGCTAAAAGCCTAAAACTTGTAAGAAATTTTTTACATTTTGCTTCTCAGGAGACGAAGAATCGTAACCCACTAAAAAAAAATTATCCCCTTTTCGCGGAACAGTGAACGAAATCGCGTGACGAAAATCGATTCAGGATTAGGGTGACAAAATCAACGAAAATTCTGGGGATTTATATTAGGGTTCAAAGCTTACCTCGCCATGATTCCCAAAACAGAGAGAGGGAGAGGGAGAGAGAGCGTTGTTGAGCTTGTTCGCTAGGCTAAGTAAAAATGGAGTGAACGCGTCAAGACAAAAACAAGACCGAGAAGACTATGTGAGCGGGAAAGTGGAGCTATTCCGTAGGCTCGAACGTTCCGAACCTAAGCTTCGATGAAAGCTTCTCAAGAACACAATTGACGAACCTTAGCTTCGGAGAAGACTCGTGTTGATTGACCTTGACTAGGGAATTGGTTCGGAATACCGAAGCACTTGGGAGCTTGGGTAATCGGGATTAGTGGCAATTTTGGTAAATAAATGGTTTATGTAGGGCCCGGCCACCTTGCTCCCCAAGCTAGATACAGTAAAACATCATTTATTTTACCCGTAATTTCATTGTTCACTAATGATTAAATAACTAAGCCCAATGTGAGACAGGACAACTTACCGTTGGGTAATGGAGACTTCACATTATGGAATCTTTTTTATCAAATTTATCTACGTGATAAAATATCATCCTTTTTCATTTTTATCTTTTATCCATATAGTTGACAAAAGAAGAAAGTCATAATCTCTCTACTAATTGTTATTTTAAATCTGCAGTAACCCAAAAAGGCAAAAACTAGTAAAGAAGAAACTCATAATCTCTCTACTAATTGTCATTTTATCCATATACTTACAAAGTTGTAGAGGGAGCTTGATGATATTCTACTAAATTTCACGAATCAAAGAAACAGATACATTGTTTAACGGTCAAACACAGAGTCAACGTTACAAAATATTACCGTCACCTCTCTGTGTAACAACAATCAGAACCCACTCACAAACACAAGTCAAAGGATAGAATCTCCAAGTTCAAGACAAGACCTGAATCTAGACTCTTTAGAGAGTTGTTTCTGGGTGGTAGTGATAATGAAATCATGGCTTATTATTGTTTTTACTAAGTAAGATAATCCCCCAAAAGTATCAGTTATCTCCGTAAAGAACCTTGCGTGGATCAAGCTGTCCGCTGCAGTAACTTGATGAGACTATGGAGAGTTCTTGTCTGCCTTTCCACTCTTCACGTGGCTTTAACAATACCGGAGGTTCGATTACTCCAGAATCTACACAAAGCATTGTTTTGTAATCTTCATCTCCCATATCAGCTATGGTCTTTGCCTTTTTGTCCCAGGGGTTCCACACAACTGCTCGTTTCCAACTCAATCCATTAGAAACCAACTCTCAAAACGTTTCATTCCAAAAAATGTGAAGAACATATATATATGGTATCCTTTACCTGCATTGGGCATGCCTTCCTTTCGCAACTCGATGGTCCTCTTCCGCTCATGATCTATGACCGCAATCTTTGTTGGTGTGTTCAAGTACACTCTATCGACCTGCACAGCACTTACTCTGCATCATTCTGTGGGGTTTTTTTCTTCTTTGAAAACTTTACAATGGCTGACATTACTCACCTCCCCGTCAAAGGTAATCGCGTCTGCTTGCTCTGTGAATCTTTCTTTACCAATCAAGTTGTCTAGATAATCCAGAGTCTCCAAACCCTCAACTCGTACTTCACTGCAAGTTCGATACCCACATAAAATATCACTCAGAGAAAGGAAGCAGTATAAGAGCAGGAAATCAGGTGCGAAGAAATTTGAAAGGAACACACACCTTATGTCAGATACATATAAGTAGTTTCGCAGTGCAAACATGAAGGAGAATGCCTTTGAGTCAATGTTCCTCACACGAGGGATCAAAGTAAGCTTCCCAGGGCTAATAGAAATTCGAATACGGAGTTCAAAACTGCGCCAATAGCACCGAGGAAGTATAAAGTTAGACAAAGAGGTGATAGTAGAAAGCACAGACAAAACATCCATATCATAGATCAGAGTATAAGTTAAAACACACCTATGCGGCCAGGTCTTCAAGTCATCTTCTGTGGACTTCAATATCAGATCAACTGATGATTGTTTGTTAGCAGGAGGCAGAGGCGAAGGATCTTCATCATATGACCAGAATTTGTTCCGGACAAATCCATGTCGCTCAAGTCCACCAAAATTTCCAAACTGCAAATATGACACAGTATGCTTGATGGCAGAGCGAAAATACAGGAGAAGGTTATTCAACTATATTAAAGAGATCTGAGATGCCAAACCTGTGGAAAGCAAACAGGTATTCCTCCTCTGATCGCCTTGGGTGGCTTATATTGAGCCTAAATGAGACGCACCAAATAAAATACTAGTTAAAACATCCTGCTTCACTCCTCAATGGGCAGTAATTTTGTCTATTTATACAATCAGGATTATAATTAATGCCACAGGATACATATTGCAAAGGAAAGGTCTCCGAGAAGGAACATGGATTCATCTCTATCAACATACCAAAGTTGCACATGAGTAGCTATGAGAAGCAATAGTTGGGAACTGAGGCCACAGATCTTAACGCCCATGTGGTTTTGGAATTAATCAAGTGACAGCATCAGAGCAACTCAAAAATTAAATCTAAAGACGATATTTGATTAGAGATTACCTTGGTGCTCATATAAAGCAGTTCTTCCCTCCTTTCATTTTTCCAAGAAATGACTTGTCCTCCAAATAGAAGCACCTGAAAGATTTCAAACCGGGAATATGTAACTCTACAACCAATATGACAATATCTTGTATAAACATAAAATAGTAAAAGGCTCAAACCACTAAGAGATGCAATGGTCTGAAGTGAAACCTCTCAAGGATGAAATTCAAGACCCTCAAAGAGTGGGGAATGATGAAGAGAAGAGATGAAAGAATCAAACCTCAGCAGTAGATCCGCGAGGCTCAGTCAAAATAATCCGGGACGACCCATCGCCATCGTTGCCTAAGTTCAAAGGCATCCCTTTTTGGCGAGAAGCTCACACTCCTATTCTCTTCCTTTTCTACAATCTTCACTCTGAACTACATCAACAACCAAAACCCAGATGGAAATCTATCAAGCATTTATAAGAACACCAACCGTTTACCAAACTAGAATCATGAACGAGGATTAAAAAAATGGGAATATACGGACAAAAATCAATAGGGTTGAATAATAAAAACCGCCGCAAAAAGGGGAAATCAAGAAATATTAAAGAAATAGAAGAACACGCTTAAATCAGATGCGAACAAAACAAAAGGGAAAGATTCAAGCTTACCCACGTTTGATCGAAATATTTGGAAAATCGTACGGATTGCGACGTTATCAAACCAAAAAGACTACGCGATCGGCTTCGGATTTCAACCCAACTCTACGCGTTTCATGAAAAATCCATCAATCAATCAACCAATCACTCAAATCGCACTACGCGACACAACGTGACGATACTAACAAGAAAAGTAGCTCAAATGTAGACGAGAGAGAGAGAACGAGATCAAAAGGAGAAATTGAGATCGAGAGAGTAGAATAATGCTGACCTTGGTGTTCTTGAATATGGCTTCGATTCCCAGAAATTTGGGTTACGAGTCAGAAAGAAGAGCTTAAAGAAGAAGACGAAGAAGACGAAGAAGAGCTTCTGCGTATTTGTAGCTGTTCCAATTCTCAATAACAGGCACTAGCTAGCTCCAATACTGCCATTAATTTATTTCCTTAATTTATTTATTGTTCTTTAATTTGTTATGTTTATCCTGGAGAGATGGTATTTAAATAACATTATATATTATATATTTTAGAATAAAGTTGTGATATATTATAATAGTAATTGAAAAAATATAATTAGATTTTTGTCAGTCCCTATATATAATATTAGAATAAATATATTTTCTTTTGATAATTATACTCAATTATGGATATATTTTTTTAAGATATGAAAACGGAAAATAAATTTATTTTAATAAATTAATATGGTCTGAACAATGAGTTAATTTATATTAACAACCACAAAATGAGATTGCATATAATTCAGTTAGATCAAAAATCAAAATATTATGAATTTTGCTTACATATTGTCTGTCCTTGATAGTCACTTTCACGTATCTGGAACTGTAATCTGTTTCTCTAGCACGACAGACATTCGGGATTCTTCTAATAGGAGACAGACTTGCACAACTCCAATAGCATCTACATAACAAACATCATATGCAATCAATCACAAAAAAACTTTTCAGATTACATGGAACAAAAATAGCTTGTGTTAATTACCGGTTACATGATGAAATTGCTCACGCATAGCATACTTCACTTCATCAGAAAAAATGAAATGGTAGAAGTTGCTGCTTGTTATCTCATTGACATAAACCATCTTCGTATCCCAGTTACACGTTATTTGATAGAGATTGAGAGAGTAATTGATAGATTTACACGGCAAAACATCAAAGTCTCTCATGCAATACCAGTCACCTTCTCTAAGATTCTGGAGAAAAGGTTTTCTGATTCAGAAAAGATAATGATGAATGATGATGCTTATTCTCCCAATGCTGTGAAGAGAAACGTATCAGCTTCGATTCAGAGAACCTAATGATGAATATTGCATCTTGCACGTTTCTTTTAAAAGGATTATGTGATACGATGGGTGATGCAAAGAGATTTAAATGATTAGGAATAAATTGTTGAGTGTTATTGTTTAGGATATGTTGGTTAGATCTTATTGTTTAGAAAATCTTCTTAAACCCATTTTAAAACCCGTTGACCCGTGTTTGATTAAATGGATAGTGTGCTAATTGTCTTTAATAACCTTAATGAATTTGTTCTAAAATAAGCTTTTTGTAATGGCATTCTTAAGTAATTTTTTACAAAATAGAAGATTAGTTAAGGGTATCTTATAAAGTGTACTCCCCAAATAATAGTATAGGATCTTTATTTATTGTTCTTTAATTTGTTATGTTTATCCTGGAGAGATGGTATTTAAATAACATTAAATATACTACAACACATAATAAATAAAGAAAACGTTGACCAATAGAAAAGGTACAAGTAAGAAAGAATAGTGGACCATAAGTAGCCCAACTAATTCAGCCCAGCCCAAATAGTTTTGCTAAACGTCGTCGTATCATATGGTTTTCCCGCTTCATGTTTTTGCTTTGAAGTTGAACTTTCTTTCCCTCCCTCGCAAAGTTATTGCGACAAGGAAATTTGGATTTGCCCAAGCAATGTAGAAGCGAGATAAATCGATTCTCGGAATCAGAAGGTTTGAGTCTGGGAGAAATTCAATTTCAAGGGAGTTAGATGGGTTTTTATCGAAAGTTCTCTTCTTCCGTGGATGCACGTCAAGTGTTCGGCGAAATGACGAAGAGAACCTTGTACCAGTGGAATACTCTTCTTAAGAGTTTATCCAGAGATAAACACTGGGAACAAGTCATGTGTCACTTTAGTCAGATGTTTCGTGATGAAGAAAAGCCTGATAATTTCACGCTTCCAGTTGCTCTCAAGGCCTGCGGGGAGTTGCGAGAAGTTAAGTACGGGGAAATGATTCATGGGTTCTTGAAGAAGAATGTCACTCTTGGGTCGGACCTATATGTTGGATCTTCTCTGATATATATGTATGTGAAATGTGGGAGGATGACTGAAGCTTTGAGGATGTTCAATGAGTTGGAGAAGCCTGATATAGTGACATGGTCTTCTATGGTTTCTGGGTTTGAGAAAAACGGGTCTCCCTATCAGGCTGTAGAGTTTTTCAGGAGAATGGCGACGGCTTCCGATGTTACTCCTGATCGGGTAACTTTAATCACACTAGTTTCTGCTTGTACAAAGCTATCGAATTCAAGGCTTGGGAGATGTGTTCATGGTTTTGTGATGAGGAGAGGATTTTCAAATGATTTGTCTTTAGTAAATTCTCTATTGAATTGTTACGCGAAGTCGAGAGCTTTCAAGGAAGCGGTTAATTTGTTCAAGATGATGGCAGAGAAAGATGTTATATCTTGGAGCACAGTGATTGCTTGCTACGTTCAAAATGGAGCTGCCGCTGAAGCATTGCGTGTCTTCAATGAAATGATCGATGATGGAACAGAACCTAATGTAGCTACTGTGCTCTGTGTTTTACAAGCTTGTGCAGCTGCTAATGATTTAGAGCAAGGTAGGAAGACTCATGAATTAGCCATTAGGAAAGGTTTAGAGACAGAAGTGAAAGTCTCTACAGCTCTAGTTGATATGTATATGAAGTGTTTCTCCCCCGAAGAAGCTTATGCTGTATTCTCCAGGATACCAAAAAAAGATGTGGTCTCTTGGGTTGCGTTGATAAGTGGCTTTACATTAAATGGAATGGCTCACAGATCAATTGAGGAGTTTTCTATCATGTTGCTGGAAAATAATACTAGGCCTGATGCTATTCTTATGTTGAAGGTTCTTGGGTCCTGTTCGGAGTTAGGCTTTCTCAAACAAGCTGAATGCTTTCATAGTTATGTAATCAAATATGGATTTGACAGTAACCCATTCATCGGAGCTTCTCTTGTAGAGCTTTACTCGAGGTGTGGGAGTCTAGGCAATGCTTCTAAAGTATTCAATGAGATTGCTTTAAAAGACACTGTGGTTTGGACATCTTTGATCACTGGTTATGGAATCCATGGGAAGGGCACTAAAGCACTCGAAACATTTAATCACATGGTCAGGAGCTCAGAAGTTAAGCCTAACGAAGTGACATTTCTCTCAATCTTATCTGCTTGTAGTCACGCAGGTTTGATACACGAGGGGTTGAGAATATTTGAATTGATGGTGAATGACTATAGACTTGCTCCTAACTTAGAACACTACGCTGTATTGGTTGATCTTCTTGGTCGTGTAGGAGAACTAGATACTGCAATTGAAATCACAAAGCGGATGCCTTTTTCACCAACACCTCAAATCTTGGGTACTCTTTTAGGCGCCTGTAGGATTCATCAGAATGGTGAGATGGCAGAAACTGTTGCAAAGCAGCTTTTTGAATTGGAATCTAATCATGCTGGTTATTACATGTTAATGTCGAATATGTATGGAGTTAAGGGAGAATGGGAGAATGTGGAAAAGTTGAGAAATTCAGTGAAGCAGAGAGGAATTAAGAAAGGACTGGCAGAGAGTTTGATTGAGATTAGAAGAAAGGTACACAAATTTGTGGCGGATGATGATTTGCATCCTGAGAAAGAGCCGGTTTATGGATTGCTGAAAGAGCTGGATTTGCATATGAAAGAAAATTTGGGTAAGAGGGAGACAGCTTGTGATTTAGTGTCTGCATAAGCTTGAAGCCAAGATCTCTGTCTGAGCCAAGTAACCACTTTCTCATATTAGAAGGGATCAGCAATAAGAATATGGAGATATAAGCCTAAGAACACAGGATTTTGAATTCAATCATAGGCTATGATAAGATCTTTAATCAGTCTCTGCATAATCTGTTCGACAGTCTCAATCTTTGACTGTTTGCTTTTGGAGCCATGAACAGAGAAATCCCTCATTCCCTTTTATAGGAGCAATACAGCAAGTTTTATTTTTATGGCTGAAAAACTCTTCCTATGGAATCGCATTGGAGCTGTAAATCGAATCTGGTGAGTATTCTTGAGTAAACCTTCATGCTTATTAAGTCGATTCAGAAGATTTTGGACTCAAAAGAGAGTTTGATGACCTTCTTGTTCAATTCTGACTGTAAGGGTAGAACAGACTTTTGATGTATTATGGCTCCCACCACCTGATGACACTAATGTACTCTTTGTCCATCTCATTGGTATCATCGGATTCGGATGGTAAAAATAAAAAGAGCAAACGAAACTTGTTACTCATGCAAGCTTCTCAGGTGCCACGTCACTCCGTTACGTGTCATGTTCACACACCATCTCACTCCAATCCCATCTCATTTTTCAAACTTTAAAGGCAGAAGCAACTGATTAAGTTAACCCTCTCTTCTTTCAGAAGCTCTCCAATTAAGCTTGAATTTGGAGGATCAATGGCCGACGTTCGAACACATTCTCACCAGCTTCAAGTGCACCCTCAACGCCAGCATGAAGGAGGCATCAAAGTCCTTTATCCTCAGAGTGGCCCTTCTTCCACTCAGGTCCTTTTTAAATTCCTCCTTCGAATCTCATTTATGCATATGAATTTGGTTTTCACATGAGGCACGTGCATGCAGGTGCTAGCTGTGTTTGTCGGTGTACCGGTAGGAGGGACGCTGCTGACTATAGCCGGTTTAACATTAGCCGGTTCGGTTATTGGACTAATGCTAGCATTCCCGTTGTTCCTCATCTTCAGTCCGGTTATTGTACCAGCAGCCTTTGTGATCGGTCTAGCTATGACCGGATTCCTGGCGTCAGGGGCCATAGGTCTCACCGGACTATCATCCATGTCGTGGGTACTCAACTACATCCGCTGGGCCGGAGAGCATATTCCGGAGGAGCTTGAGGAAGCGAAGCAGCGTTTGGCTGACATGGCTGAGTATGTGGGACAGAGGACTAAAGATGCTGGACAAACCATAGAAGACAAAGCTCACGATGTCCGAGAGACCAAGACTTTTGATGTCAGAGACCGAGACACCACCAAGGGTACTCATAATGTCCGAGACACCAAGACTCACGAGGTCCGAGTGGCATCCACATAAAGCGTGTGTTCTGAGTTAACCATGGTGAATAAAAAAGATCGACTGCTAGTTCTTGATGTTGGTGTGTTTTGAGTGTTTGTATTTGCTTGTAAGCTTCTTTGAGTTTAGTTTCCTTTTTTTTTATGTGTAACAATAATATCAGAGACTTTTTGCTTCTATAGTTGCGTCAGTTATTTATTTTATTGATGCGTAATAAATTTGAAATGTAGCTCATTTACAAATGGTCAAATCCAAGAAAAGAACCAAAGAACACCATTTCAAGCTTCAAACACAAAGGAGTAACAGACATACTCTACAATTACGCATCAAACTGAAATCATATAAAGTCACAATGGGTTACGGCTTACAAGCTCTAAGAAATCGATATTTGGTCACAAAGGTGATCCTAAAATCGATAACTGATATTAAGTACTGTACATGGTTAGCTAAGCCGATGGCTACCGACCATCAAACCAACCTCCTGGTGGAGCTCCTCCTTCGTTCATCAACTTATCCAGAACCACGTTGAGGTCAACAGCTTGGCCGTTTTCAGTCAGTTTTCTCACTGTTGCTCTGACTTGGTCCCTTGGGAATCCCATGGTTGTCACCCTATCGATCACATCATCGATTGGGGCTCTGCTTTCTAATCTCGGGGAACTAGAGCCACCACCGCTGCTGACGGCTGAAACCATTATTGGCAAAGCGTGTGGCAATGGACGTGAATTTGAGAGCTGTGAATAACCAGTTCCACTGCTACTTATATGTGGTGGTTTCGCTGATGACATTGGTGAACCACTGTACGGGTAAGGTTCAGACGAGTAGCCGGACGGAAAACCTGAATTAGATCTACCACCCGCTCCATCGTACATTGATGGTTGTGGTTGAGGAGGGTTGTAGAAGTGCTGAGAAGGGGAAGAACCAGCAGGTGGCTGCTGATGAGGAGGGATTGGCGGGTAAGACTGCATTGGGTATGGTTGTTGTTCCCCGGGGTTGTAGCCTGATGATGGTGGTGGCTGGTAAGGTGGTTGATGCTGCGTTTGGGTTTGAGGAGGCTGTTTTGGAGGAGGTGGAGGGAAATACGGCTCTTGTTGAGGAGAAAAATGGGTGGGTAGTTGCGAGGAAGGCGGCTGGGAAGGAGCAGCAGGGGAAGATGGTGGGTGTGGGAAAGAAGTAATAGGAAACTGAGGCATTTGTAAATGCAGAGGGACTGGTGCAGGCGATTGAGAAGTGGGATCAACATGTAAAGAGTGTGTTTTGGTGGGCTGGTCAACTTTGGATAGCTGATGCGTTGTTTCGAGAATTTCTTGTTTATCCTTCAAAAGTTGCACACCACTCTGCACCTGCACGCAATTCACAAAGAAGAATCAATAAAACGTATTATAAGCTCATTTCGAGAAAGCTTACTTTCTTAAATACAGGAGAATAGGCTGTCAGGGAAAGGCCAGACACACTGGCGAGTGATTTCTTTGTGGCAATTTCATCATCTTAAGAAAGGCAAAAGATAGCACTGAAAGGTGTCTGCAAAGTTAGGAAAAGCAATCTGCAAAGGAGTTACGTTACCTCTACAAGGATATTTTTAAGCTGTCTGATTTTCCCATCAGTGGTGCCGTGACTGTTGTCAACAGAAACTTTGAGATCATCGACCAGGTTCTCGAGATTGAGGGTTCTGCTCTCCAGCTGTGATAGACGCGCACTAACACCTTCCATTACATGAAGCAAGGTATCGGTATGTTTCTTCATGGTCCTATCAATAATCTCAGACATAATGGACACATTCTGACCCTTGTCAGGAACCAACTTTGAAGGTTCAATAGATCCAAAACCCTACACGGCGTATAAAAACAATTAATAATGCTATTAAAAAAAAAAAGGAAGATTTGACAAGTAGCACTAGTGTAGTACCGAAGTGGAAACGGGTTTAAACTCAGAGGCGGACCAATGAACCCTAGCGGCCGTAGAAGTAGTCGTAGATCCGGCGAGATCTAAAGCCGAGTGAGACAATCGAGTGGCGGCGGTGGTGGGACGAATGGGATGGAAATCATAGCTAGGAAGGATCTCTGCTTTCTTAGAGTCCAATCCATCATCGCCGATCACCTGCTTCTTCTGGTGATCATCGTCCTGATTGTTCATCAGATCGATGAAATCAGTGGAAGGTGGAGATGACGAAGAGGATAGATCCATTATCTGCTGCTTATCCATATACTGACAATTATTCATCGATCCACCGAAATCTTCTCCGACTCTCGATTCTTTCTAAAACCTCTCGATTTTTTTTTTTTTTTTTTTTTTAATGCACAAAATGGACCAGGATGCTTTATTGTTGTTTGTTTACATATATCATGCATACCTTCTGATTGGCTTAGAAGGTTCTGGACCCTCTCAGGCTACAAGAGTTTAATGGGCCGAAATCTATTTAGATTAGATAGGTCTGGGCTTTCGGTTATCCGTTCGGTTATCGGTTGGGTCCATTCGGTTTTCGGTTCTTTCAGTTTTAAAATTTAGTATCCATTCGGATAATCTGATTAGAGTTTCCATCCCCTCTGTAAAAGCCCAAACTATTACAGAAATTGATAGTGCTGTCTCTGTACCAATCCGATTGGAAAATTAAAAAAAAAAAGATCTAAAAAACGAACATTGTCGTTGTATCTCATTTTTTTAGATTTGGATGTCATGAATATGGGATTTTGTTTACATTATCAAGTTCAAAATATAAATGAAGACGAAAAAAAAATATGGTATAACTAGGATATGACCCGCGGTACACCGCGGGTTAATTATTTGATTTTTTTATTTTTATAAATTGATGAATTTATTGTGTATAATATTTTTTGTTGTATACCGCGGGTCACATGCGTTGTATCTAAAATAAAAAATTTTAAGTTGTATTTGTTTTGTTTAGTGTTTAAGATTGTATAATTGTATTTTGATTTGTTATTTATAGGATTTCACCTGTGGTATATTGTCTCGTATTAATATTGACCCAAACCCGTCCAACCATATAATCTAAAATGAAATTAAACATCATTTTGTTATTTTTTTAATAACACTTTTATTTAAATGTCATATAATTCGAGTTAATTTGAAAGTTGCTTTCAAATAGTTTCCATGTATATTTTTAAATTAGTGTGTGTTTTTGGACCAACCCGTAAAAACAATTTATAATTGTATCTTAAAATACTAATTAGGATTTCACCCGTGATATACTGTCCCATTTTAGATAATTGTAAAAATTAAAGAAAGATCTGAATGACTCAATTTCGGGTCTGAATAAAATAACGACATGATTAAATGCTCAATTTGTTCTTAAAAATGTTAATATAGATTACACACATATTTTTATTCATCGATTGAGTAATATATGTCCGTTTTAAAAAATTTGAATTGTAATATATGCAGAAAAAAAAAAACTAAAATTTACTAACTATTTATATATTTTATAATAATTTAAAATAATATAAATATAAGATCAAATAAAAGTGAAATAAGAATCATATATTTATGTTTAAATTAGGTAGAGAGGTTTTAGGAAATTAGTGCAAATTTGTTATATTAGCATTAAATCATTATATTTGATTTCTTTATCTATAAAAATCGTGGAGAATATACTATAAATAAAGCGTTTAAATATAGTAATTAGTTGAGAAAGTATATATATTTTAGATTTTATTAATTATTTTCGTTTTTTAATTTTGCCAAAATTTAAGGAAAAATCCGATTGAAGATTTCTGGGTCAAAATTAAATAAATTTGACCCGATTTGGATACCCCAAAAACTACTGCAAAAATGTATAGTAGATGATCAAAGCAGTGGGACCGTGTTGCAGTATGAAATAAGACGGAAAAAAAAAAGAGTGGACTCAGGAGTCAGGAGCATACAATACAACATCCACATGTTTAAACCCGGCCCCTTTAACATCATCCATGCAATTTTCCCCTCACATTTCCAAATTCCACACTAAATATCAATTAGTTGTGGTCTGTAATTTCTCATACGTAAACTTTTTTTATTTTTTTTTTTTTTTTTTGATAAACTTTGTATGAAATATTATTATATGTTAGCAACTTAGCATACGTAATTTCTCATACGTAAACTTTGTATGAAATATTATTATATGTTAGCAACTTAGCATTACGAAATTTTTTTATTTTAAACGAAGAAAACCACTGCCCGTTTAAATGAATGACAAAATATGTCAAATCATTTCCAAAACATTATTTACATAAACACATGGAATGATGGAACGGAGAAGAAATACACCGGAAAGATAAATAAAATTATTCATCAAAGTAAGCCAATGATTAAATGACATTCTGAATTTATCGGTATAATACTATACTGAAACAATGTCGGCATATGAGTTATTTTGATCATAATCAAAAACATTCAAACAGTACAACTACAAGGAGACAAGAGTCACAAAATAAGGACAACTCTTCTAAATAATAATTACTTTGCATTATATCCAAAAAAACAAAACAAACTTTTTTCTTCTTACATGAAAATGGGGAGACAGAGAAGTTCCATTCATGTAACATAACTCTTACCAATAGAGGAAGGAAAAAAAAAAGTTAGCAAGTGTCGGTTACTTGTGAAATTCCAACAAATGCCAGAGGATTTATGCACATCCTGGAGCATCTGATCACCGAAGAAAAATTATGTTTGCTCTTACATTTATAACTCCAAATCCAAGACTTCCATCTCCATTGTTCGTTGCCAAGTCTATTCCCGAATCAGCGTTGAGCAGAAGAAGCATAGCTTTTTCATCTTATCATTGGAGACCGAACCTTAGATTTAATGGCTTCAAGCTCAAGTCAGCCACAGTTCCGGAGAATGTTGAAGGAGGAGATTCGGAATCTGGAAGTTTGGTCAAAGGGTTAAAGTTAGGAGGCATGTTTGGAGTTTGGTACCTTCTCAATATCTACTACAACATCTTCAACAAACAGGTTCCTTCTTTGCTTCATTTAACTAAACAATCGGTTTCAATTCGAAAATGGCTCGAACCAATTAGTCTTCATGATACAAGTATGAAACTTGTTCATCGATCCAGGTTCTTAGGGTTTATCCATATCCAGCGACTGTAACAGCATTTCAATTAGGGTGTGGAACGTTGATGATTGCAGTAATGTGGCTCCTTAAACTGCATCCACGCCCCAAATTTGCTCCTTCTCAGGTAAGTTAGTATTGATCAATTCTTCAAGCCCTAAAAACAGAGAGATTCATTCAATTGCAATCCCCTGACATCGAAATAATTTGTCAAATTATCTCCAGTTTACGGCGATCGTACAACTAGCAGCAGCTCACACGTTAGGTAACTTGTTAACAAACGTGAGCTTGGGGAGAGTAAATGTCTCTTTCACCCACACAATCAAAGCAATGGAGCCTTTCTTCACCGTCTTGTTATCTGTTCTCTTGCTCGGTGAGGTAAGCAAAACAGATACACATTCTTCCTAAGACTTAATCTATATCCTTAGATAACACAAGAGAGTTATATCTAGTGGCCGAGTCTGTGGACTGTTTGTTCGTTGTTGCCAATTGTCGCTGGAGTCTCTTTAGCATCATTCACAGAAGCTTCTTTCAATTGGTATGAACAACAAACAAACAAAAAAAGAAAGTAATCTTTCTTGATGAAGATTTAATTGATTTGATTGATGTTTTTGGGAGGAACCAGGATTGGTTTCTGCAGTGCAATGGCATCTAATGTAACGAACCAATCACGCAATGTTCTCAGTAAAAAATTCATGGTTGGAAAGGTAAAAGAGTCTGAATATAAGTAATCATCTCAAGAAAGAAACTAGTAATCGAAATCTACTAATATGTTTATATTGAAACAGGAAGCTATGGACAACATCAACCTTTTCTCGGTAATAACAATTATCTCCTTTATCTCACTGGTTCCTGTAGCAATCCTCATCGATGGGTTTAAGCTAACTCCTTGGGACTTACAAATAGCAGTAAGTGAAAAAAACATAAACCGATATAGCTAGATCTCCAAGATAAAGAACTTATGTATGCATTTGTTTGTGGTTGCTTGGCAGACAAGCCAGGGTTTGTCGGTAAAAGAGTTTTGCATCATGTCTCTACTTGCTGGTGTTTGCTTGCATAGCTACCAACAGGTTGGTCCGTACATATAGTTCCTCCGTTTCAGAAAAATTGCACTGATCGCCGGACATGATCGGTTTTGTTAAATCGGTTAGTGTATAATTGGCTTCTGATCAGAAGCATGAACTGTATCTCACATTGGGGTTGTTGTACTGTAGGTATCGTATATGATATTGGAGATGGTGTCTCCAGTAACACACTCTGTAGGGAACTGCGTGAAGCGTGTTGTGGTTATTACATCATCCATTCTTTTCTTCAAAACTCCAGTCTCACCTCTTAACTCTATAGGTAAACAACTAGTATATCATGTATGGAAAAACGGTCTATTTCCCCACGAGAACTATCGCATCACGACAGATAGAGCCCAAAGTATGACCCCGATCTATATATCTCTGAAACAAAAGTTATAAACCTAAATCTCCCCGACACAAAAGTTTTGTATCTAAATCTCCCCGAATTAATAGTTCTAGATCTATTAAACCATAATCCTGGGTTTCGTCGGTTTATTTTATATTTAACCGATTATTACAAAAATTAAACCCAATTAAACCAGAGAAAACCAAATTTCTCAAATACATTATCTCCTTCCTCTCTCTCACGCCTTTCTCTCTCTCTTTTGCTTCATCTTTCTTCTAAAATGGTGAGAATCATAAAACCCATCACGTATTCTCTCATATTTGTCAAAGATTTTTGTTGAATTCTTAATTCTAATGCTTCTTCTTCTCAAACTTTCTTCCTTTTACCCTTTCAAAAAAGTATGACTTCGATGCCTTACGTGACTTCATAGCCAATCACAAACAAAAACCCGGTGGGTGAATCAATTTTTCTTCTACTGATTGCTGCAATTTGACCGGAATCACCTGCAATTTAACCTCTATCAATCCAGACACCGGAAGGGTTACTAAATTGGAGCTCGTGAACAAATAGTTGTCGGAGAAATTGACTGAATCTCTCAAGAAGCTAGTTGAGATTAGGTTCTTAATCGGTCTCAGAATTTCATCAAAGACTCGATCCCAGTTCCGATTTTCAACTTGGTGAATCTACAGACTCTTGATTTGAGTTCTAATGATCTCTCCGGCGAAATCCAAAGAAGTATAACTCTCCCAGCTTTGCAAAGTCTTGATCTTTCCTCCAATAAAACCAGAGTTCTCAACTTTTTTTTTTTGTTTCTCTAGCATATAATCTTTGAATTTCTGTTAAAATTGATGT